CGACCTACTGCATAGTAGCTTTTTGGGTTAAAGGTGCTGTCGGGCCACTGTAGGGTCTTGAGTAGACACGTAACGGGGGCTCTAGGAAGGGTTCGCAAAAAGGGTTTCATAAAGAGTCTATGAGGGAGGGGGGTTGGGTTGGTCGCTTCAGAAAGGATTCTAATCTTTGGGGCAAACCCTGAAGCCCTAATTCAACCATAAACCCTTATAAACCCTAAACCGCTAAACCCCTAAACCCTAAACCCTATAGTACCCCTTTAGATCCCTTACAGGAACCCTTATAGTTGCTTTTCAGGAGCCCTAAACCAAGGTATGAGGCAGAGGAGTCCACACTGAGACGCTCGGCGAAAGCCTTGTTGCTGCGACTGCTGGAACAGCTGCGCGAGCCTTGGATGGAGCAAAGGAATTATAAACCCTAAACCGTCAAGCGGCGACTCTAAACCCCGAAACCTGATGAGTCGAGCACGCGCCGAAATATGTAAAGGCCTTTTTGCGCCTTTACCTATAGTCTCCATTCTGGTTCCTTTCTATGGTTTAACCAAATTTATATTAAGGAATTCATAATTCTCAAAAGCTAGCCCCGAAAAGGAACTACAACGGAGACTATAGGTCTATTCCTAAACCCTAAATCTTAAACCCTAAATCCCTAAACCCTAAACCCTAAATCCCTAAATCCCTAAACCCTAAACCCTAAGAGTCCAAGCAGCAGACGCTGCCCTAAGCAGACTGCCGTCCTTAATGACGGGCCTGAATTCCTATAAGGCCTAAAACTCGAGCGTGCCGCGATCCTCCAAATCTTATGTTTGGGGGTTCATGGGTTTAGGGTTTAGGCGGTTTAGGGTTTAGGGCTTTATGGGTTTAGGGGTTTATGGGTTTAGGGTTTAGGGTTACCCGGGGCACGAAGAGACTATTCAGTTTTCCTTCTGGAGCTTCATACGGGCTTCGCGAGATGTCAAAACCCTTCACGGTTTAAGTTGAGGTTAACCCTACAGGCCAACGAAAGTCCCTAAACCCTATAAACCCTATAAACCCTAAATCCCTAAACCCCAAATCCTTAAGTCCCTAAACCCTGAACCCTATAAACCCTAAATCCCTAAACCGCAAATCCTTAAATCCGTATAAAAACCCTACAGAGAATCAAGGTACGCCTACGACCATGGACTGAACCGGAGCGGGAATGGCTGTGGGGCATCGCACGGGCGTCGCGGTGAAATTTTGGAAGCTGCTGTGAGGTTTAGGGTTTGGGGCGTAGGGTTTAGGGTTTATAGGGTCTAGGGCTTAGGATTTAGGGTTTATAGGGTTTAGGGTTTGGGATTTCGGTAAAGGAGCTGTGGGGTTCATGGCCAGGATTTAGAGTCTAGTCCGTTTAGGGATCCGGGGCCTCAGTGTTTAGGCTTTCGGATTTCTAGAGGGCCCTATGCAGGGTTTTTGGTTTAGGCTCCCGGGCCGGTTCAGGCACAGGGTTAGGTTAGGGTTTCGGGTTTAGGGTTTAGGGTTAAGGGTTGAGGGTTGAGGGCTAAGGTTCGGTTAGGGTCCAGCTTGGAGGCTATTCTTTGGGCTGCTGAGGGACTTGTGCTTTTGTGTAGGGAGCCCGAGAACAAGAAATAATAAGAATTCCCAAAGTAAGTTTTTGGAGAATGCATGTTGTAGGATCCTAACCCCGAACTCATACCGAGATCGCCCCAGCAAAATATCATTGCATCTTCATGTTTGCTTCATCTTTGGATGCCTGATTCGGTTTCAGGAGACTTGTTTCGTACTTGCCGAAAGCTAAATGTAAACACTCCTCGATCCGAAACTCCATCACTAAGCCATAGACCCTAAACCCTAAGCCCTAAACCCTAAACCCTAACTAAAAAAGCCTAAGCCCTAAACTGCCCTGAACCCTAAGCTCTATAAGCCCAAACCCGAAAGCCTAAACCTAAAGAGTGAGTGAACCCAACTTTAACAGAAAACCTAAAGAGTGAGTCAACCCAACTCAAAAGAGCCCGAAAGACCCGAAAGAGGTGCCTGGGGTCTCATGAAGCCAGCAAGCTTAAGACCCGATTTTAAGCCCGAGGAATTGCCCATACTGTTCCGTAGGGCTCCTTATTATAGCCTTACTATGACTACAACACTATAAGATATCCCTACCGAAGTTGTGCAAAGAGTGCAGTTGGCACTTTTGCCACATCTTAGCTATGGACCTTCGATTCCCCTCCTCCCCTTCCAACCCTCTGGCCTTAAGCCGCTTATAAAACCGTATGAACCCTACTGTGCGTAACACCCTTTCACCGTGACACGTTTAAAGTTTATATATCTATATCTATATCTATATCTATAACTATCTATGTATACATATATCTATATATATATATGTTAACATATATCTATAACGAACCCCGCAAAACTGAACCCCTAAACCCTAAGCCCTAAGCCCCTGAAACCCTGCAGCTTTTGAAAAAGCGCTGAGGACTCTAAACCCTAAACCCTAAACCCCTAAACCCTAAACCCTAAACCCCTAAACCCCTAAACCCCTAAACTCTATACCGGCTGAGGACCTCGTTGACAGCGATGCCCGCTGGCTCGCCCAGTTCTTCCGACAGGCGGGAGCCAGCCCAGCGAAGCTAGGTAGGCCTTTGGTATATTTTATATTTTCCCTTATTGGGCTTAAGAGGACCCTATTTACTATTCAGAGGCTTGAAGGGGCCAACCAGGAAGGGTTTAGGCGCGGCATTCAGGGTTTAGGCTTTACAGGATTTACGTTTTAAGGGTTGGGGCTTAGGTTTAGGGCCTAGGGTCTGTTTAAAGTTGCATATAAAGGATGTTTGATGCATGTAGGTTGGTAGGGCTGTCTGGTTTTGTATTGGGTCTCGCCTTGTCCGACTGAGAGTGTGAGGGGCTTGGGGGTTTTTCCAAATTCACTACTACTATATGGGATTCTCAAAAGGCGGGGGGTTGGGGTTTAGGGTTTAGGGAGGGGGGTTCAAGGGGGGGGGAATTCAACCCAGCCATCCCCCTGGAAGGATCTCTCAGGTTCCCTACTACCCCTACCTTCCCTTACGGTTTAGGGTTCACCTATAGTCTCCATTGTAGTTCTTTTCTTTGGTTTAACCATTTCAAAATAAAGGATCCTAAGAGGTAACCCCAAAAAGGAACTACAATGGAGACTATAGGTAGGGTTTTAGTAGTAATAATAAGCCCTAAACCCTAAACCGTAAACCCTAAACCGCCCTGGAACATGAAACCACAAATCCGAATCCCGGCAACGCCCGAAGGCCTTTAATTCATGAGCTGAAAGTACGCATATCAGATATAAGCTCCAAAGCCCCAGCCCGTATGATGTATCCCGACCGGCCCAAGTATCCAAATAGCAGGCTCATATAGGCAGCAACAGCCATTCCGGGACTTTCGAGGTGGCTAACTCGACCCCTTTTGCAACCTCGTGGCGCTCATGTACAAACACTCCACACCCGACTCCTATGTACTCAATAGGTTTCCGACCATTGCGCAGTGTACATAGCAAGTTCAAGGAACCAGCTGTCTAGAAGGGCGTGCTTGGGCTGGATGGGGATGCAGGGTAGGTAAAGGCACTTCATAGCTTCGAAGCAGGTTTCAGAGCCGTTTAAGCAGGTTTCGAACATTCCATGGAAAGCCACATATTAGAAACACCCATCCCGGTTCTCGCCTTTGTGCCGGAGCCTAAATAATCACTCCCCAAAACGCCGCATCCTTATTACAGAAAAAAACAAGCAATCCCAAAATCCCAAAGATGCCAAAGCCTCAAAGCGGCAGGTCAACTGGGATTCCCGGGATGAAGCGAAGCTGCTCCTTGCCTGAGGTGTTGCAATCCCAGCTTGCTGGCTTAGAGCTGTAGAGTCTCATGGTGTGATTCCTGAACGGGCTCCTTCAAGGGATCTAGAGGGGTTCTGCGAGGGTTTGGGGTTAATATAAAGTAGGGGCCTTAATAATTAGAATAGGCTTTTCGGGGTTTTTTCTACTATAACTATAATACAGAGCCCCCCCCCCCCACAAAGCCAAAAAAAATAGTATAGGTAATTACTAGGGCCCCGAAATTCGGTTCCGGACTTTAGGGAGTCAGAGAGTTCTGTAATTTTCCAGCTTAGGGATTCCTGAATCAACAACCCCAAGCAGAAGCCTTGTGCCTGGTGATTCCTAGATTTACTTCGTAGTTAGTTGTTGAAACCCTACATCCCGAAACCCTAACCTAAATCCTTAATCCTAAACTATGCATTCTGAACCCAAAACCGCAGACTTAGCCCTGCGAGAACGCTAGTTCCGATGTATTGCAAGGTTGCCCTCATGTTGGATGAGGGGGGGTGGCACGGGGAACCCCTATTCTGAATCTGTCGCCCCCAGAAGGGCTAGAAGTGTTGAAACTGTTCAAGAACTCACCCAGAAGCATGAAGCCTTAAGAAACCCGGAAGAACAGCCAAAACAGTCACCCTCTCAAAACCCTGAAAGGAACAGATGAAGCATCGGGAGCATTGCAACACCAACATACACCAACCAGGACGGAGCCCCTCGCGGCGAACCCTGCAATAACTCCCCGCAACAAAGAGCTGAAGATAACCCGTAAAGAGGTTTGAAGAAATCATCCCCCAAAGCTCTTACACAACCCCTGAAGAAAGCCTTTGCTTCCCTAAACCCTAAAACGCAAACCCCTAATGTAGGGCCCTAAATAATTACCAATACTATTTCGGGGTTCCCACTATAGCTAGATTATAACATACCCCAAAACCCTAATCTAGTTGTTAAGGCCACTACAGTATAGAACCCTTGTAGTAGCCTTTTTTAGACCCCTGTGTCACCACCTTTTTTGGGGAACCCTAGTCTAGTTATTATAAGGCCCCTAAACTCTAAAACCCTAAGCCCCTAAACCCTAAACCCTAAAACCCTAAACCCTAAACCCCTAAACCCCTAAACCCCTAAACCCTAAACCCCTAAACCCCAAACCCTATATACCCTAAACAATGTTAAGCAGAGCTCAAGCAGCCGAGGTGTGTCGAGCTCCTCGAGAGACACCATGGAGTACTGCCGGGCCGGGAGGCCGGTTTCGACCTGTGAGAACAGGTCTGCGGATTTAGGGTTAAGGGGTTTAGGGGTTTAGGGTTTAGGGTTTAGGGTTTAGGGGTTTAGGGTTTAGGGTTTAGGGTTTAGGCATTAGTGTCTAGGGATGTTTAAGGTTTAAGGGCTTAGGCAGGCTTTTGCACGGATATAAATGGAGAGGGGATATGCAGAAACGGAAAGTAGAGACCCATATTTTGGCAATCGCCTAGACTAGGATGTTAACAGACGACATATTTTTTGTCCCTTGATCAAGTGAGTACCGACTACTGAGTACTGGGAACCCAGCTGACAGGGTGATAGGTAAGGTAGCAAGCACATGCATCTGCATCCTTGGCAAGCCGGACTAATGGTATACTTCATACGCTAAGTACCGCTTTACCTACATTAATTTAACGCGACGATGGTACTTGCACAATCCAGCTTACCAGGTCGCGTGATCCCTTAAGTTCACACATAGCTATAGCTAGCTGTATCATCAACTAACGTATTTGCAGCCCTACTCCTTGCCACCCATGAACCCTAAGGCACCATGCAACAATGTACCTACATAGTGTACACGTAAGTAATTAGCTATAATAGGAACCCCTTTAAGGCCGATAAGTATATACTACATGCATGGAGCCTTTGGGGAACCTTTATGTAGAGCCCCTCCGCCGGAAAGTCCTCGAAGCTGGTCCGAAAACCCTTCAAACCCATGCCCGAAAGTCCTATGAGCGTATGCACCCCTACTAGAACGAAGGGGACTTAGGCGAGTGAGGTTAAAACCCCTAAGCCCTAAACCCTAAGCCCTAACTCTAGAGCGCAAGCCCTTCGGCAATGGCAGGCCCTACAGATTCTTGGGGTGCTTGGGCGCGCTGCCGAGATAGCCGCCTTAACGCTGGGGGAGCCTCAGCATAAGTACCGGCTTAGGGTGAGCAGGGGTGCATGGGTTTGGGTTCCGGGTGTCTGCTGTAAGGGTCGGGATCTTCATACAGTTCCTGGGGGCTCCTTGCTCCTACTGCAGCATAAATCATGACGAACCCCCCCCAAACCCTATTCTAAGTATGAAGGCCCCTGTATTGCCATGGCCCTTTGTGATTAGAAAAGGATGTGTAGGGTTCTTCGGCCAGGGTGCTTACGAGACCTTGTAATGGTTACTTCATGCCAAGGGGGTCTACTTGACGGTTCATGGATAGCTAGCAGCACGATTTTATGAAGTATGAAGCCCCGAACTCGGAGCCTGCTCTTTGGAGCCCACACTTCAGGGTTTCTACGGTTTCGGGTTTCTTACCCTAAGGCTCTAAGGACCCATATTATAAGGCTTTTGGGCCCAAAGACCATACTATATAAGGCGTTTGGGCTATTTTGAGCCTTGGGGTCAATTAAATCCCCAAGCACATGCCCTGCGTCAGAGTTTAGTCAACCCTAAATCCTACCTGTAGTCTCCATTGTAGTTCCTTTTTGGGGGTTACCTTTCAATATAGAATTGGTTAAACCACAAAAAGGAACTACAATGGAGACTATGACTATAGGTAAACCCTGAACCGTGATTAGTTTCACTAGGTTCCCCAGTAGTACCCTTTTGCCCTTTTTATTTGGGGGCCTCCCTGTTAAAGCCGAGTATTAGGAAAAAAGGGTACCTTGCAAAAAAAGGGGTTACTGGGGAACCTACGGTTGATGATATAAATCCTGCATTACCCGCAGTAAGGAATATACCACAACTCCCACACTTTAGGGCCCTTAAGGCAATGCAGGATTCCCTAAACCCTAAACCCCTAAACCCTAAACCCTCATATCATCAAGAGTAGTTCGGTCTCAGGAGCGGCGGCTGGGTCTGGCAGCCAAGCATGCAGCCCAGCGGCTGCAGGAGCGCTGTCGTCATGTTTCCTGACCCCAAGGCTCAAAATAGCCCGAAAGCCTTATTTAGTATGGTCTTTGGGCCCAAAAGCCTTATAATATGAGTCCTTATAGAGCCTTAGGGTTAGTAATCTCCGTAGCTGGGTTTCTGGGTATCCGTGAACCAAGGTTTACAGAAACCTACTATATCTGAAAGGACTGATTGTCAAACTTATATACTGCAAGGTCCATATCAATGCTCTACATCTTCTTTCAGTGCGATTATTTGCTGGCTACCCGGTCGCTCGACTATGGAGACACAGCCATGCTCGCCATGATATTGGTTAGCCTATGAAGATCAGCTACATTGAAGACTATGTACTCGCGGCTTTTTGGATATGCCGTCAATGTTAAAAGAAACCTTGGGCTATACCACCCCTCCCGCGGCTCGCAAGGTTTTGACTGGGCTACCATTAATACGGCCCTCGGGTTTAAAGAATCGGGGGTCCACGATTCAATAGAGTGGACAAGAAGTGTTCCTGCAGTGATGGTGAGGAGGCCGTGACGACTTTGATCTTGATGGCTGTGGTGTCGAAAGATATATTCATAGAGGAGGGATGCGGTTGGCGAGGGCTTCCGATAACCGACGACGACGAGCAGCAAGCAAGTTGAAGCAGGATGAAGATAGGGAGGGGATTCGCAATGGTGATGCTGAAGACTCTCGAGTTTGATGATGATGTTTGGGCCTGTGAAGATGATTGCGATTCGGCGTTGCTACTGGTGATGGTCATGGTGATGGTCGTTTGTATAGCGAGTCTTCTACATACTTTTCAGATCAATGCGGTTCCTGCCCCCTAAACCCTAAACCTTACACCCTTAACCCTAAACTCAAGGCTTAGGCCGTCCAGGGGGTGCCCTGCGTTGCGATTGAAATAAAGAAGAAAAACCATGAAATGAGTTTAAAGCTAAATTAAGGAATAGGTTTGGGCGGTTTTGGCCGCCTCAGACGGGTGGGAAAGAAAAAGAAAAGCCCTCCACTGTCAGGCTCCAGCAGCCAATCACCATACTAGGATGCACTCGAATTTCCACTATCGCAAGCTAGTTCCGCCTTTGCGCTACTCTACGGCCAACCCTTAACCCGAAACCCTAAACCCTATACCCTAAATAAACCCTATACCCTAAACCCTATACCCTAAACCCTAAACCCGAAGCCCTAAACCCTAAACCCGAAACCCCTAAACCCTTAACCCTATAAACCCTATACCCGAAACCCTAAACCCTCCTAAACCCTATACCCGAAACCCTAAAAAGGAGCTTAGCTGTTCGGAGCTCTGCTGCTGCCTGGAGCTTCTGCTGGACGCGGGCCACGAGTTGGGATCTGCTGGGACGGGTGGCCGCCGGGCCATCTTCGGTGCACCTGGGGTTGCTGTTAGTTAGTTCGTTGCTTTAGGGGTTTTGGGGTTTAGGGTTTAGGGTTTAGTTGGTTAGTTAGTTAGTTAGTTAGCTAGTTAGGCAAGGAACTTACTTCAAGTCTCCATGGTGGGAATCTACAAGGTTCCCTTTAAAAGTTTAGGGTTTAAGGTTTAAGTACCTTAATGGGGATATATAGTAAACAATGGCGTCTCACTATTATAGTAAATTATAGCGTAATTTAGGTTCCTTCACAGCAAGCCAGGCACTGCTGGAGATGGCCCGTGGCAAGACGCCCGCGGCCGCCGGTCTTTGCAACGAGCCCTAGTCGCTGAGTGGGTACACTTGATACTTTTTGGTGGTGATAGGTGCCTCTATAAACCCAAAGATACTGAAAGTCTAAATCTGTTTTCTGTGTTTCAATACATGTGTGCACCTATGATTCATTTTCCGGATGAAGAGGTTGCTACACTTTACACTTTGGATACTATTATTCGCTATAGGAACTGTAAGTGTGCAGTTTGTTGGAGATTATGAGCTCAGCAGCTAAGGAGCTCTTCTGGGCTCTGAAAGCTCGAGCTGGTCAGGCGGAAGAGCACTGGGCCGGTGTTGCTTTGCAAGAGCTCCTGCGAGACATTCCCAGTGACTAGGTCCCTGAGTAGTACCCTTTTGCCCTTTTTATTTTCGGGCGCTTACTAAAACCGAATAGGAGGAAACAGGGCACCATTAAAAAGAAGAGGTTACTGTGGAACCAAGGTGAAAGGGAGCTGGGGCTCTTGAGGCAGCACTCCTGGGTCCGAGATATGGAGCGGGGGAACTACGAGAGCTGCAGGGTCGAGCCTTGGGGAGACTCGCGCAAGTTCCCGCTGGCAGTCTGGCCGCCCTACCGATCCTGCCTGGGCATGGAGGGTTTGCCCAAGAAGACCGATAGCAAATCGGCTCCGATCGTGGTTCGGTGCCGCTTCCACGACGAGGCTGTGAGCACTTCCAGTCCTGCCCCGAGCCCGGCCCGTGGCCCTCGACCTTCTGCAGCCTCCTCGATCCGACCCTCCAGCAACTAGGTTCCCGAGTAGTACCCTTTTGCCCTTTTTATTTTGAGACTCCCTTAATAAAACCAAAGAGTAGGAAAAGGGGTACCCTTATTATTTAGGGACTACTGGGGAACCTAGGCAAGGAGGTCTCGGAACGCCGGAAGTCCTCGGGCGTGCTACTGAAGCGGGATGTTGGTATGCACCGGGAGCAGCAGGTAGGCCAGACACTTCGACTGCTGGAGACCTTGATTTGGGAGGACCCGGAGCTCCATGTCTTGCTCCGAAAGAGCGGCCTTGTCTTCGAAGACGTACGGGCCACCTACACCATCGTCATGACGGGGCATGGCACTGCTATGCTCGAGCATCCAGCCTGTTAAAAGTTGGTGTAAAGATGTTGATTCTGTCTTGTATGTGTGCATCGATGTCTAACCGTAGGCACGCACAAACAACCCGCCGCATGGTTTT